GGGGCAGCAGGGGCCCCGGGAAGGGGAGGGGGCAGGGGCTCCCCCAGGATAGGAGGGGGCAGCAGGGGCCCCGGGAAGGGGAGGGGGCAGGGGCTCCCCAGGATGGGAGGGGGCAGCAGGGGCCCCGGGGAGGGGAGGGGGCAGGAACTCCCCAGGATGGGAGGGAGAAGCAGGGGCCCCGGGGAGGGAGCTTTCACCTTCCAGGGGCCGCCCCAGAGGGGGCAGCTTCCCCTCCCAGCACCGACTGGGTCTGGCGCAGCCCCCCATGGATGCTCTAATTCAGACTGTGGCGCTGCGGCTCGTGGGGGCGTTAATGAGACTAGCCCAAGGGCCCAGGCTGGGAAATGCCCCCCCACTCCCCTGCAGGGGAGAGTGGCTGGTGCGAGCCGTGTGTGCCATGAGGAGGTGGTCTCCTTGCCTGTGGGGCAGTGCTGAAGACAAAGCACCTCCACTGTTCCAAGGCTGCTCTCTCCTGAATGGGGGAAAGCCGAGCTCCTGGCCACCTGTGGCACTTCTAGGTACAGTGTCGGTGTTAGCCTGGCTGTCCCGGCCAAAGGCCACCTCTGGCTATTACATTCTGCCCCCTGTTAGACAGCTGCCACCTCCCAGCCTACAGGTGCCTGCGTTCCCATCTCCATGTCTGTGTGGGTAAAGCTCTTTGCGATCCCTGGCCGAAAGGTGCTAATAGAAGAGATTATTATAGGCTACACTGAGTCAGTAGCAGCTGTTTCTGAATATTAAGAACACCGCTGTTTTCCAGCCTGCCAAATGAATGCTGAGGTGGCATGTATATCTCTATGCCTGCAGCATCTGAGAGGTTAATTCCTCCTCCCTGCACCTGTGTCTCATCTCCCCAACCCCGCTCTTCTCTGTGCCTTGCCTCACTTCCTGTGAGCGGAAAGCCTCACCAATGCAAATCATCTGGTTCCCGTTCTTGAATTGGTCAAGCAAAGAGCGTGGCTGGCAGCATGGGGTGCCATTCTCAAGTATAGAGGATTTAGTGTCTTTGGTAGGGGATTTATTGGTGATCCTGGCTGGCTCAAAGAATTGAGAGAGGGGTGGGTTAGAGTTCCCTTTGTCTCTGGGTCAGGAGTAACTAAGGTGACCAGACCGCCTGATATTATCAGGAACATCCCAATATTAGGGCCTTTATCTTATATAGGATACTATTACTTCCCCCCCCCCCCCGCCTCCCACTTACTCCCCCCCCGCTCCCATTACTCCCCCCCACTCCCATTACTCCCCCGCATCCGGATTTTTCACATGCGTTATCTGGTCACCCTAGGAGTAACCAAAAGTCTTTCTCTTCTTTGGTGTCCTGTGTGAAATGAATTGGTGCATTCTGCTAAGAGTGGATGTAACGCCGACAGATCCCGTCGGCGGTGGGCAGGATCAAACCGGGGACCTCGAGCTTAGTGCATGAGCCTCTACGACATGAGCTAAAAGTCAACTGGCTGTCAGCTAAGGCTGTCGAGCAGACCCATTAATTGCTCTCTAAGTGGTCTTGGTGCCACTAGATGGGACATGGGTCCAAATTGTACCAGACGCCCTGTTGGCAGCAGAAAGGACAGAAGCTCATTCCTAGAGGTGGGATCTCTCATTCCTAGAGGGGATGCCCAGTTTTAAGGTATATTAGTGCCCAGTACAGGAAAGACTGGAAACACTCGCTTGACGGTGTGTGGTCAGGTGTTCCGTAAACAGCCCTCATACAGCTCTGCCAATGCACCTCAATCCTGGTCTGCAATGACCTCTCTTATTCTACTCCCAGAGCCACCACAGCTCTGCCAAGGCACGTATCTGCAGGATCCATTGCTATTCCAGTCCCCAGGCCTCTGCCCAGGCATCTCATTCTAACCTCCAGTCATGAGCTTTTACTCAGTTCAGCCGATGCACCTCCCTCCTCCCTCTCTGGTACTTATAACGGCCCCACCATGGTAATGTCTAAGCAGAACCCTCCTGAACTTTCCTCATGTCATGTTGTGGGTCATGCCCGATAAGGACTATAAAAAGGGCCAGATTCTAATGTCAGTTACGCAGGCGTCCTCTGGAGTAACCCCTGTTGATGGACTTATATATAACAGAGAGGAATCTTGCATGGTCTCTTACAATATGTGTTAATGACTTATGCCAAACTGTTCCACTTTGTATTTAGCTGTGACACTTTGAGTATCTTTCCCAGGCCCGAAGAACAGCTCTGTGTAGTCCGAAAGCTTGTCTCTTTCACCCACAGAGGTTGGGCCAATAAAAGATATCACCTCATCTCCCATGTCTCTGTAGGAACCACAGAATCCTTTTCCATTTTGTTCTCAGACAGATTTACACTTGGTTCTTTAGAAAACTCTGTTGGGTTCCCCGTTGAGTCTTGGCCTCAGTCCCCTCTCTTTTAACAAGATTGAATCCTTTCCTCCTGGCCTTGTTTTGATGTAATGAAATGTATATTAATCTGTCCTTGTCACTGTTCAGAAGGTGTAGCATGTTCCTGCTAACTGATGTTACAGACTTTAGCTATTTAGGGATTGAGCAGGTTTCTGATCAAACAATGGGCTGCCCAAGACCATCTGTCACTCCCTGATTCTTCCTTTTATTGTCCTCCTGTAATAATCAAGCAGGTCCGTGTTCTAGAATTTAATCCCCACTGGCAACAAAACCAGACAATGTTGCTCAGATGCTCTGGTTTGTGGCACTCCTGGCCGGGGAGTGGGGGGTGCGTATTGTCTCAGTGAGGGTCTGAAGGACGGGGCTGTCAAAAGCAACCTCTAATAATGGCTGTTCCCAGGAGAGCTGCACCTGCGGCTGGCAGCCTGCCTGAGCTATGGCTTCCTCCGTGGGTGCTGGAGCAGCAACAGGACTCATCAGTGGGGCTGGGGAAAGCAAACAGCCGGGCTAGGGAGCTAAGATTTTCTTCTCTCACTCTTGTGTGTGTGGGGGGGTGTGTGTATGTGTATGTGAATATACACACACACACGTACCCACACATACACATACACCAAACTAAACAACACAAATTCATGCAAATAAATGCACGAGCATAAACTCTCAGGGAAGAGGAGGGCACATGAAAATGAGTGGTCAAGGGGCTGGTAATTTCTGCTTGGAAGTTGTACGTACGATGCCCTCAAAAGCTCACACCACCACCTGGCTTCTGAAGAGGCCACAATAAAAAGGGGAGAGACACAATCCAGATCTCCCTCCTCCCCCTGGTCTGTTTACATACACACCTGTTGACCTGATGAAATCTCTCTCTGACCTCTGGGTGGAACTGTGGCAGCTCCAAGCCTGCCTGATTTCCCCAATATGGCCACAGGGGCGAGCAGATAGAGGCAAGGGGAGGAGACAATCATAGGACAAACGGGTACAAAGGAACAAGAGAGAAGAACACATCCCCTGGGTAGCTTGTTCCCACTTCTCTCCTGTGGTTGCATCATCTTGAGTAGAGATCAGGATGCTTGTTGGCCAATAACAGCGACAAGAGCTTAAGCACATGGTACCATCCAACCCAGGCCTATCCGAACTGTAGTAACCCTCTGCACCCAAGGGCCTTACAAACATTCATTTACCTTTATGTTCTACTCCTGTTTTTCTGCTGGAGAAACTGAGGCACGGAGAGACATGACAGGGTTACACCAAGGAGTCAGTGGCAGAGTCGGGACTAGAACCCAGGAGTCCTGGCTCTGTTCTGTGTTCTTTGTCTCTACTGGAAGCCACACAATATGGAAGGATGACTATGGAGCTGGCTCTGGCCAGGGTGGGGAGGTCTCTGACCAGTACCAGTTCCATCGCTTGGATGTTTCTGGTGTCTGGCCTGCTGGGGAGGGGAAGACGCTGGGGTAGGACAGTAGCAGGAAGGCAGAAGTGTGTGCAGGTGAACGTGGGATGTGATTTACACCTCCCCCCCCCCACACACACACACTCCAGTCTCCTCCTAGCTCTGCTGTTCAGCCTGCACCAGCGCTGGCACCTTGCTCGTCACCATAGCAACAAGTAATAGAGCTGAGCATCATTCTGGAGGTTTGCTGGGTGTGGTGGAGGCTGAGATGGAAAAATGAGCCTTGCTGGGGCTGCAAGAGGAGGGCAGGATCCATGAATTAC